ATGGTATTACTGGAATCTGTTGCAAATGACTTTGAAACACGAAAACTTTTGGCTCTACCTCAAGAAGAAATTGTGCAAAAGAAATTTGCTGATCGAGATATGAAGAAAACTAGAAAAATTGTGATTTTACTTAGTTTGTGTGTAGTGGTAATGATAACTCAGTTTTATGTGATAACACATAGTGTTAAAATTGAAGCCGCAAATCACTACAGCAAAGACGAAACCGAGTTAGCAGAATTATATGTAATAACACCAACATTTAAGAAACCTGAGCAAATACCAGAACTAGTGCGTTTATCACAAACTTTGTTGCTGATTCCCAAATTGACTTGGTTAGTGGTAGAAGACGGGTATGAAAAGAATGATCGTGTTGAAGCTGTTTTAAAAAGAAAAATTGGATTAAATTATAGATACTTACTAGCACCCATGCCTGAAAAATATAGAAACAGTTCCTACGCAAAACCCAAAGGAGTTTCCAATAGAAATAAAGGTCTGGAATGGATAAGAAAATATGCTCAAAATGGCGTGTTATATTTTGCCGACGACGATAATACATACGATGTAGAACTATTTCACGAAATTAGAAAAACCAAAACAGTATCCTTATTTCCTGTAGGTTTAGTCACAGAATTAGGATTAAGTAGTCCTATTGTAGAAAACTGCAAATTTATAGATTTCTATGATGGATGGATCGGTGGTAGGAAGTTTCCGGTAGATATGGCAGGTTTTGCTGTTTCGGTCGAGTTTCTTTTATCACGTCCTAATGCTAAGATGCCCTACACAGCGGGTTATGAAGAAGATGGATTTTTGAGGAGCCTTGCGCCGTTTGAAGCTAAGGATGCTCAGATGCTAGCTTCTTGTTGTTCAGAGATATTAGTTTGGCATACAAGAACTGTGCACACATCACCAGCGAAACGAAATAATTTGACATATGTATATAAAAATAGCAATCTTCCGACATTACAAGAACTCATTGTGTAAAATTAATATGTTGACATTTAAAACTGGATATGTTACGTCAAGTGACTAAAAGTGTAAATAACAATTTATTTATGATAGTGCAATTTAAAAAAAAATTTACGTTATTTCATTATTTTATAGTGAGAAATGATAATATATTATCTTTTTTTTAATATACAAGATTTTTGAATTCAACATTTTACCTCCTTTGTTAGAAAATCTTCCTAGGGATTTGTTTATATTCCTGTTCGGTCAACACTACTTTTATTGATAGTATAATTGTTAATAAATTGTTTACGCTTATTTATATCTATTTACTTCATGTATTAATTAAATGTATATTATTTATTTTATATATTAATTATTTAAATTAGTTCTACAGGCTATGTATGACCAAGGGTTGAAATTGTTATACTGATAATGAGGTCTTTAAAATTCCATAATAGTCCAAACTGTGTCAGTTCAAAATAACCATTTTTCGGTGGGAAACATCTAAACGCAGTTTTTGGCAAAAATCTCTCCAAAAGGTCGCAACAATTAATAATTTCACTATGCGTGAGTTTTAAAATTTGGGCTTAACTTTTTGTTAAACAGATTTGATTGAGTTGAACAGAGTTGATTTGACAAAAAAAATTTGATATTTTACCTCTTGTTTCGCATATATCTCAGGAACTATTGATTTTAGAACAATTTAGTGCCAGACTGAAATTTTTTATGATTGAATATTACCTATGACAATACTAGTTACAAACCTGAATAATTATTATTATCAAAAAAAAATACTAAAAAACGGAAAAAACAGTTAAAAAAAGTTTTTTTGTGAGTGTATTTCCCACACTAAAATCAAACTTAAAACTATCATTTTACGAAAAAAAACTTTAGTAAGTATGCTTAATCATTACACAAAAGTCATTAAAATTAAAAATAACAATATTGTCATTTTTATGTCATTGTCGTGTTGGTTTGATTAATGTACATATATGAACAAATATACAGTTATTTTATGTGGAAAGCAAAACCAGTTATACCATTACCATTTTTTTTATTATTAATTTGATTGCCGATAACAAATATAAAATATAAAATAATAAATTAGACCAGACAGTTTGGTTTAAGCATATATGAATTTTTTTAAGGTTGAGATGTCAATAGAAAATGAGATTATGATGTTATGCCAATTGGTTTTTGATATGTTAACATGTAACAATAAATGTTACTTAATTTGTCAATATCTGATTTTATATTTATACATTTTTTTATTTTTCGGTATATTTGTCATTTCTAAAAATAAAAAATATAGTTTATTTATAGGCAAACTAAGAAATAAACAATAGCCTAACAGTTAACACCTTAATACCAGTAGCACCATCACAAACTTTCGATCTTTACCTTATATTACATTCTTAATACCAAAACTTCTCAAATTATTTAAAGGATTAGAAAACATAAAAATTGTCACTAGAAATGTTAAAACCATAGCACATTTAGACACTAAAACTAAAGATCCTCTAACAACCAAGGAAAGTTCTAAAGTAGTTTAGTTCTAAAGTAGTATCAAATATCTTGCTCAGACTGTGATAAGTATTATATAGGAGAAACTTCTCGAACATTAAACAGCAGAATTATTTCTCACAAAAGTGATGTAAAAACAAACAAATCACAGGTTTGTGCATTAGCCGATCACTCCATCAATCTAAATCATACATTTAATTGTTCACAAGCTTCAATTCTAGAGAGGCAAAAAAATGAACAAAAGCGGTTATTTTTAGAAATAACACATATACAGAAAAATAAACAATGTATAAATAGAAAATCAGATATTAACAAATTAAGTAACATTTATGGTTACATATTAACATATCAATAACCAATTGGCAGAACATCATAACCTCATTTTCTATCTACATCCCAAGCTTAAAAAAAATCATATATGCTTAAGGCAAACGGACTGGACTAATTTATTATTTTATACTTTATATTGTTTGTACATTATATCTACTTTACATTTACATTTGTACATTATATATACTAGTAATCTGACGACTATGTAAGTAAGACAATTGAACAATTATAACTAGATAATTTTTATATTTTTTTTTTAACAGGTCTTGAAAAAGAATTAGAATAAAATCGAAAGCTTGACAGTAAGTCAAAGAGTTTTCTTTGTCTTGTAAGCCAAATAGACTGTATCATCAAGAATAACCATTTGACCTGACATCATATTTTTTCAGTATACCCTGTATATATATATATATATATATATATATATATATATATATATATATATATATATATATATATGTTAACATGGTATACTGAAAAAATATGATGTCAGGTCAGAAGTGCACCAGATCATGACTAACTGTTGATGACAATTCATTGGATCCCCCGTCGCATGTGACGGGCAAAAATACTAGTACATATTATATAATTAGGTAGTTTAAAATAAGTGTAATATATAGTACTTTGTAATAAATATAGTGTAATTTTTAAAGATAAAAGACACTTACCGTTTTCACAATTCTAGCAGTTTCTCTACCAACCAAACAGCAAACTTGATAACCCAAATATGTAATGACAGGAACAAAATATACGTCTTAAAAAAACATAATATGATTTTATACTAGACAAAGCTATATTTTGGGTGAAGTAAAGTAAAAGTTTAAAATTTATTTAAATGTACATAAAGATTTCAAAATTTCTCTATTTTACAACCTCAAATACATCGTTCCAAAAAACTAACGCACTAATTTAATTTTTATCATATCATAATGGAGTCAACTTCAAAATTTCTGGTTGCTCTTATGTTACACTGAGTAAATCGCTCACCGGCGGGTCTGTAAACTGGAATAAGTCTGTCAGATCCATCAAATACATATCTTGACTGATCGGTAAAAAGAATATTAACCCAGTCGTTAATATCCCAATCGACATGTTCTCGTACGAACCTTAAACGTGCCATACGGTGTGCCCTCATTAACAGTGGAGAAGTATATACAAGTGGAGAAGTAGCAGGTATTCTGGCTTTGATTCCAAATTCCTTTAATTTACTTCTAAACGAATTGGCACTTATTCCAACATTACGAACTGTGGAAAGATAACTTCGCAGTTGCCTAGCTATAACATGCTGTCTACACAAAGTCTGCAGAGGTAAATAACGGTCATCTGCGGGTTTGTGCCTCTGGAACGTTCTGGAGCTGGTCTTCTTGTGTAGCCTCCAGTTGCTCTAAACCTTTTTAACCTTAGAATGGTACACTGTGGTCGCCGACGACACCGCGCAGTTTCTATTATTTGCAGTCGGCACGTTCCTAGAGAGAGGACGCTTAGATTCTCAGTACCTTTACCTCTTTTAGTTTCAAATCAACTGTAACCATAACTGTTTATCGGGGGCTAATAGCTATTGTAAAATATTTATCGGTGTGATAGACGACACCACAGTACAATTCTCGTTATAATTTTGAATATAGAAGTAAATTGCTTCAACAAGCAAAGCGTTGACTTTGTAATGAGGAGAGTGAAGATTCGCAGAAACATAAAGATCAAAAAAGAAAAGTAGTATATGGAAAAGATGGTTTTAAGTGGTATAAACCTCCGTTTTTCTCAAAGAATACTCGCACAGTTGAAAAAACATAGGGCATCGTCTACCAAGTCCAAAGGCTCAAGATTCAAATACACCAGAAAGATTCTGGCTTGGAAACTATTTTTAAGTTCACAAACCAAGAACTTTCTAAATAATTTACTAAATTTAGTCAAAGTCCAAGTTTTACAACTGTTACAAGTAAAGAAGAGATTTTGGTATTATTCGGACTTATATATGAGTGGTGTTTTAAAAACTAGCTACCTGAGTACTTCGGATTTATTGTCACAACAATTTAGAATACCAATTTTCAGAGCAATAATGTCACAAAAACGCTATTAATTTTTAATTAATTGTCCTCGTTTTGATAAAATCAGTTCTCCTGGAATATCAATAAGAAGCCGAACTAATCTGACTTACAATGGCAAATGTGACCTTGCCGAAACATCGCCAAAACAATGGTTTTCAAAAAAAAACTACTTAACGCGAAGTCAAATCCGGAAGACAACTGCAACCACATATAGCTCCGCGGAAATTTCAAATTAAATTAAAGGCTATAGCGGGATAAGATGGTAAAATCTGCACTCAGCTGGATTTTAATTTGGGGTTAAGCACTTAAAAGTACATATTTAAAAACCCCTTTTTTGATCTCTTTTTTTCAAATTTTTCAAATTTTTTGACTTAAAATTAAACTCAGGAAAAATTGAGATTTTTAAAGAATTTTTAGTTTATGCAGATAATTTTTGGCAAACTAATGAATAATGTATATAATAATTTTTCCGTTCTTTTAAATGGCGGCGTTAGATTTTCAATTTTCACTCCGGAAAATCCTCAAAATTCTAAAAACCCTTTGTTTGGCAATAAATAATGATTTTTGATATATTTTTTTGTTCTGTCTAATAGAGCAATTAGGTTTTTCATTTCCAGACCAGAGCTTGCTTAAAACACGAAAACCCAATTTTTTGTTATGTTTTTGCATGTTATTTTGCACACAACCTCAACTGTATATGAATTAAGAACGATTTTTATCTATTTTTCCAATTGCATTTTTGGTGATTTTTATGGATTACATTAATAAAATAATTTTATATATTTTTTTCGATTTCTATTAATAATAATGAAATTTGATAAAATTACAAAATAGTAAAAAATAGTAAAAAATAATAAAATAATAGTTTTAGTCTTTGTCACTATCTTCGTTTATTATGGGATTAGTATCTGATGTGATAAACAAGTCTGAAAGTATTTTTGCTAGTATAATAATTTTTGACTTATACCTTGCATTGCTAAGATAATAAATAATTGCGGTAATGTGGGAACAGGATCCCACAGTTAATAATTCATTAGTATAGTCACAACCATAAGGCAAAAATACGAAATAGATTTGTATTCGACAAAACATTTGTAGTTCTTGCTATTTATTTATCTTGGCCCAATTAAAACTTTAATTATATTAAAAAAGTTAAAAATAAATGCTTACCTTAAGTATAATTATATGCATGTTGTGCTGCTTCCATATAAAATTAAAGTTTTATGCCGTGAAAACACTTTTAATATAAGTATTTAAGCAAAGCTTCTATACTGGCGTTATATTAATTTTTTTATAGTAAAATGCAGAGCAGATTGTCATGAAACATATTAACATTTTATTTGGTGATCACTTTATATTATACATTATATATATATATATTATATATATATATATATATATATATATGTATATATGTATATATATTATATATATATATATATATATATATATATATATATATATATATATAAAGTACTTACGACTCGTTTGAAAAAATTATATAAATATGTTTTTTACGGGTTGGAGTCAATAAAGGGCTATTGGTAAACTATTCTTTATGTCAAGCTTTCAATTGTATTTACAATCTTCTAAACATATCTAAATATATCATAAATATATCATATAAACTTCCATACAATATCAAGAGCTTCTAAAAAAATCCATAATTTTGAAAAACTTTTTTAACAAAAATAATTGAATTTATAAATAAGTTAGAACAGCGACCAATTACAAATAAGCCTCAATGTCATGAATGCCAACTTACAATTTTCATTTTTGACAATTATATTACCAAAAAATAAATTTTGTTTAAGAAATTGTTTTTTATTTAGTAATAAAAAAGAAAATTTATTCATCATTGATAGATGTCTAAACAATGTAACAAATATATGGAATATTAAATTAAAATGTGAAATGTGAAAACAATAGAGAAATAATACAATTATAAATTTTGCTTAGGTTTTGAATTTCTGATCTTTATGATCACTTCTGCTAATACAAAACATTTCTAAAAAAGTCCTTTTGAATTTATTACTTTCATTACCTAAAATTTTAATGTTATCAAAATTCATAATATGGTTTTTGTCGATTACATGCTCTGCTAAAGCACAAGATGGTTTTTTAATTCTACAGTCACTTTTGTGGGAAATAATCATGGACGTATATGTTTTTTGTTGCTATTTTTATATTGTCAATAACCTTTAGTGTTTGTATTAATTAAGGCGTTAATGTTGGTATAAAAGGTAGTGAATGATAATAGGTATTCTGATTATTGGATACAATATTCTGAGATTTAGCAAAAAATATTGTTAAGTTATTTAGATTACATTTACATTATACAATGATTGTCATCAAAAAATAATAATTCTTTTTTTCTACCTTCAACATGAAGTTTTTGTGGGCTTTTAGATTTTAGATTTTTTTGTTGTGTTGTATTTGAAAAAATACCCTTTTGTGTTGTAATGTTTTTATTTAAAATTTTAAATGTATTTTTTATTATTTTTAAAATGTTTGTGACAGTGTTCTTCACCACAAGGACCAACTGAACATTTTCAATGTAGGTTTTCAAATGTTGATTTCCACCACTTGTACTAAATAGGTTTTCCATTTAGGTGCTGATGAAGCTGACAGCCTATCACCGAAAATTTCACATTTTGAATAAAGTTCTACACCAAACTGGCTTATACCATCTCTAGCCGATCCAGGATTTGACGCTTTCCCGAAAGTTAACTACCAAAGAATTATATATATATATATATATATATATATATATATATATATATATATATATATATATATTATATATATATATATATATATATATATATATACATAATGAACAACTAATTATCACCTTTGAAAGATAAATGCATTTATCACCTGCGTTGAAAAAACGTGGTGAATCTATAGGTGATTTAAATAAACAGGAGCTAAAATGTATGGAGTGTTTAAATATTTTTGATATTAATGATAAAAATTATCAAAACTGATCATAATTTGTTTTCTTCAGTTAAACTTTTTGTATTGAATCTCAAAAAAATTATAAAATTACTTTATTTAATTAATAAAACTACTTTATTCAATTTTATAAATATTATTTAAAATTTTAAAATACAGAAAACATAGAAAGCTTCTGTTAGTCTACAATACAGCCTACTGTACCACTTTTGTTTAAATACTTTAGAATCTTAAACTATTAGCTTTAAGGTAATTTCCAATTACTTAACTTAATTCATAAATACGAAAAAGGTAATATAAAAATCCGACTAAGAAATCGGAATACACAAGTAAAATGAAGAAATATATTGCAGCCATATACAGGGTGGTCCTCAAGAATTTGTACAAAAAGAAACAGTATACCCTACACTATAAAATATTACCATTGAAGCCAAATTGCTTTAATAAAATGTTGATATTAAGAAAGATACAGGGTGTTAAAGAAGAAAATTAAAATTTTAGTTTTAGCTAGAACTTTCATGTTTTTGAACATTTATGTATAAAAATTTAAAACTAGGTTCTTTTAAATATTGAAATAAATATTGAAAATATAGAAATTGTTATTTAATGCACACTTCGATGTTGCTGATAGAGGGCGTCACATATGCCACATACGTGGCATACATTTGCACTTAACTTTTTTGCTCTTGAAGTTACCTGCATCAATGATAAAAAATATTAAAGATACACTATGTTAACACAAAAAAGGTATTCCTGTTAATAACTTTAAAACCCAACAATTTTCGGGATAAGCGCATTTTCTTCAGCTGCATAATTCTGATTTAACGCAATTACTCCAGGCAACGAAGGAAAAATGGACAAAAAAATCAATACTTCTGAATTTTGGTATAGAATACCTTTAACTAAAGTTAATTGTTAACGAAGTATTAAATAAAATAAATATATTACCAGGATAATTAATAATATGATTTGACAAAATAACAGAATAATAGGATTCTACATCAAACATTTTGCGGTATATATTAAATTAAAGTCATAATCAAAACATTTTATTTACAAACCAAATTAAGAAATAGTTAAACTAAATAGCATAACTTTTTGTCAAAGCAAGTGTTCGATATGTCCACCATTTTCTTTAATTCATTTGTCAATATATTTCATAAAAGATCGTCTCATACTAAATAGCATGATTGCTTCTAAAGAGACTGCGGCTGTATTTATTTCTTCCCATAGTGGTTGTGAATGTTTATGGGATTCTTATAGACACGTTGTTTTAATGAGCCCCATACCACCAAAATAAGGCGGATTAAATTCTGGGCTACGTGGTGGCTATAATTTATAATGGATGAATATATTATTTTGGATACATATCCAAATCTGATGGTATACTATCGAACTATATCTATTTGTCGCAGAGGTTGATTAATTTATTAAACTGTGATTTGCGTTTGCTGAACTGCGTTTATTGGTTACTACTATACACACAGAATAACGTATCGATGACATTACTTATTTATATAATTACGTTACAGTAACTATAATTACATCTCGAACAAATGGACTATTATGGTTTACTAACGAAGTAATATAAACAAGATATACATGGGTTCTTTAATACCTGTGCTTTAGTTTGTAATTGTCCTAATAAAAATGGGTAAACAATTTACGTAATGAATAATAAGTATTCTTTGGAGATTTTTTATGAATTAAATAATTTTATCAATATTACGAAGGAATATGACTACCACGACCAATCCAACGTTCAGAAAACTTTCATTTAAGTATGTTCTCACTGCCTTCTCTCTAGAATGTAGTGATGTACCATCTTACATAAACCACATATTTTGGGTCCCAGCATTTTACAATAGAGAAAAAGAAATATAACGTCAGTATAGAAACTTAAGAAGCGATAGAAAAGGAAAATTGTAGACATGACGGCAAACGTCTGAATACGGACCAGACACCTAAAGAAGGAGATGAAAGCTTTTCTCCAATAAGACATTTAACAGTCATAACAATGCACTTTGTGGTGTTACATTATGATTTAATAAGAATAAACTATTAATATGCTTATCCACAGGTATTCAGTGCTACTTGTGGTACCTACTACCACACAAAAATCACATCTAAGAATTATTATGCAACTGACTTATAAAATGCGATTATCTCAAAAACGGTTGAATTTTAAAGGTATTAAAAAGTATATCTTTTCTTTATAAAAATAATGTATATTTAATTTTTTTAACATGCATAAAGCTAGCGTAAAGAACAAAAAGTTAAGCGCAAATTTATGCTACACATGTGGCGTATGTGGCGCCCTCTATCAATTACATTAAATTATTTATAAAATTATAATTTGTCCTACTCAAAAGCATTCAATTGTAAATTTTCGTCCATAAATATTTACAAATGTAAAAGTTATAGCGAAAAATAAAATTTTAAATTTCTTCTTTAACACCCTGTATCTTTCTCAATATCAACATTTTATTAAAGCAAGTTGGCTTAAATAGTTATATTTTAAATGGCAGAATCTACGCTTTCTGTTTGTACAATTTCTTAAGGACCACCTTGTATAGTTAACGTTAGGTGCTAAAAACAAGCAAAAAATATCAAAATACGGTGTTTGTCATATTTTAAGCATGTTCTGCTTCTGTTAAGCATTTTAAGCAGTTCTTTCAGAAATATCGGAAAATAACAAAAATCATTATTTATTGACGTGCTGTTGAGTTTATAGGGTAAAAAACATATGGGCAAATACCAAAAAAAATGGTTTTTTTTTTTTTTCGAAATGTAAACATGTTATGAAGGGAAAATAGTAAATCTAACCCCACCTTTTAAAATAACGGAAAAATGCACGAATAATATTTATTTAGAAGTTTGCAAAAAATTACCTACATAATCTAAAAATTCTTTGAAAAATTTAAATATTTTTCCTGAGTTTTTGGGCTCGAAAATATTTAAATGATAATCGCCACTCGAATAAAGGAAAGGGAGAAGCAAAAAATCGTTATTTGTCATATTTAAATGAGTTTATCTGCTTAAAACATGGGAAAAAATATTAAAAAAAATGGGTTTTTTCAAATTTTGAGGATTTTCCGGAGCGAAAATGACAAATCTAACTCCGTTATTCAGAAGACCAAACAAAATACACGAAAAATAATTATTATACATAATTTTCATCTTCCCTTATCTACTATCCCAAGCCTTGTAAACGAACTTGTAAGTAATGAGAAGCCATAACAGCAAAAGCGACTGTAGTAACATGTGTGGGCAAGATATAGAATTTATTTTTATATGGGGGGTATTATATACTTGTGGCAATAATATTATTTTTATACAATCCTTACCTCGCCAAAGAGTACCTCTGAGAGGAGTCACTACAAGAGCCGCTAACCCGGGATAAACAATGTGTGTGGTTCCTTCAACAAAAATGATTGTTGCATAAAACCATTTAGTTTTAGGTAACATTTGCATCCATCTTGCAGACGATAAATTTCTTTGATCTTCATGGTTTGTACCTATCCTGCAGACAAATATGATTAAACTTTTGAGACGTTATAAAAGTTATTTGTATACCAAAAGTAAAAAGATCATCTATTTATTATTCGGTATATAAAAATAAAGGCAGCTTAACCCCAGAAGCAACTTTAAATAAACAACATCTAAAAACAGAAAAATTTCACAAAACATGACATGCATGTAATCCAAGAGGAAAGGAGAAGAAATTATTAAAATGGCAGCAAAAAATATATCTTCAATAAAAACAAAACAAAAAAAGTACAACCGAGTTGTTTGATAACGGATGCAAAGAAGATATTAGAAAGAGAAGGAATGCAAAAGAAATGCTACAGACAGGAAAGGAAGAAGATAAGAATAAAAAATATGGAATGGAAACAACGGCAAACAGGATCTGTAGATCAAGAAAATGAATGTTCATTGTGATAAAGATAGAGACAATAGAAATGGGATTTATACTGAAATAAAGTAGGATTTTTTCCAAGAAGTTTAAATAACAGCAACGTTATAGGAAAAAGACTTTTTTTATAAATAACAAAAATGGGAAATTAATATCAGGTGAAGAAATAATCGGAAGCAGATAAAAGGAGTATTTTAGAGAAACACTAAATGTAGACCATAAATACATCTACATATGGGTACCATACCGAAGAAAATTTAAACGACGAAATAAACGTCGATCCACAATCTTTGAAGAGTGGAATAAACTCAGAAACAGAACATATTAAATATGAAAGAGAAAATTAGTTCAAGAAATATATAAGCTTATAAAATTATATGGGAGAAAGAAAAAATGCCTACATATTGAAAGACCACTCAGAATACCGGTATACAAAAAAGGAAAGAAGAAAGACTGCTCAAAATATAGGGAAATAGCCTTGCAGAATACTGTGTACCAAATATTATCAAAAGGAGAAGCAAAATTGACTGAATGAATTTTCAAAGACTTACCCATCGCAATCACTTTTCAATCTCAATATCATCATCTTATTCAAAATGGGCAAACTAGGTTTAAAATTATTTGTAATTATTGGCAATTCCACATGATGACTCCAATATCATCAAGGTCTCCGAAATAAGGTGAAATCTACTAAAAACCTTATCCCTCTTACTATCTCAGCAAGTAGTCACACAAAATAGAATATAAACATTCCTTTAACATGAAAACCTACTGGCAGA